CTGTATAAACGTGTACGTTTCATCACATGACAGACTCCAGCGATAATCCCAATAGCTTGAATATCGCTCGATGATCCATCCTCTTCCTCATGTATGTATATACGCGAATGCTATTATTAGGCTCTGTCTCGCCTTGTTGTGCTCTGATTCGATTTGACTATAAATTTGCCTCTGTATTCGCTCGCGCACACACGTTCGCCTCCCTGCTTCAATTTCGCTCGATGTGCTTATTGCTCTGATATCCATGCTATCCGCTGATAATCTGCAGTTGCCGCTTCTCATTGCCTTATGATTTCGAACATTGTTGGAATGTGTATGATAACGGTTACAAAGGTGATGGATTAACGAGGCAAATCTACCACAGTATGATCACAGATGAACATACCGAATCACAATCAACCGGATATTTTCATTTCTCTGGACTTGGTATTCAGTTACCTTGATAATCAACTCTCAATTACTGATGAAGTTTGAATTGTTCATATTTTCTTCGTGTATTGTACATTGCTGTGATCTTAGTAATCAATCGTTGTCCAGTGGTTTCGTTACATTTCTGCCGAGTACTTGCATTCAAACGACCGGTGTTGGTCTTTTGCACTTACCGGCTCATAGATTGAACAAATGATGTGACTCGTCTCGTCAGTAGTCGACTAAATTATGTTGTAGGACTTTTTTATTTCCGATTTCTTCTACAAAATTTCCTCCACACTATCGCTATATCAATCTGTTCGTGTTCATTGAATGAGGAAATGTTTGTTTATTTTACGTCGTGTAAGCGAAGTGGTTTTGCCTTCGAACATCTGATTTTTGAATTTATTTATCTTGACCTGTGTGATTCGACCGACCATTTTGTTTATTTCACCTTACCCACACTTACAATGTAGAAGTTTCGAAATATTTCATTTCATTTGAATTGCTTAAGATGTTCTTGCTGGTCACATGCACACTGTGATAGTTAAGATCAATACTTAGAAAGAGGAGATATGATTTCAATGTAGGCGAAGTTAAATTACAGCAGAAGTCGACTGGATGTGAAGCTGAAGTGTATCGGGTTCCCGACCAACAACCCACTCGCTAAATCTCGTAAACAACGATTCGCCTATTTACAGTATTTCCATCGTGTGTTGCCTGAAAACTTAACCGTTCGACTATTGTCATATAGAAAGCGGACACATCAATTTATAATATGAGTGAAACTGAATTAGATTAGAAACTACTCGCAACTCACTACACCATGGGTGGTTGCGAAAGTGATCAACAGGTCGGATTAAGATGCCATCGAAACAGCCTAAACTGTAAACGAACATTGTCACGTAAATTCAGTATGTTTTGCTGAATAAGCAGAAAACTGGCTATGTAAAATACGCATACGCATAAACAACTATCTTCACTATTCCAATCCTGATTGGAACCGATTGCAACGAAGTGAAACACGTCTCATGATGACTAACTCTACAAAGTTAACAGAAAATCGTCAAACGCTTTTTACGATCTAGAAGAGAAATGTTCATTCGACTATGATTTGATTTGCTCAGTGATCATAGGGAAGATTAAACTTGCCATCACATGAACAGCGCGTAAGGAAAACCGTCAGTTCGTACCTTTATAGAAACACATCGACATCATCGACATGACGACAAAACCGATCGAATCTAACAAAACGTGCACAATCTCTATCGAAAAAGACTACAAACACGAGGAAGTCAGTAGAATGTGAAACATTCAGTCAATGTGGACGATATCGTGTAGGTGTCATCTAATGAACATGACGTTGAGAGAGTCGTTATCACAGCAAACACAGAACTAAGGCAAGACACAGTTGAAAGCCTAACATACTCAGCATGATTAGGTCATAGATGATGGAAGACGATAGAAAATCGTTTATGTGGGATTAAGTATATTTAATGGTTAGACAAATGAGTAGAATAGTACAACTGGAGATGATATGGTGTATGTGAATTGTGATGATGTGAAGAGGAATTTGGAGAAATCGTTGATACTGAGATATGAGAATTGTTCTGAGTCAAATGCGGATCCATCACGGTTCAATATTTCAATAGTACCAATAGTACTGTCCAATGTCTGGACGACGAACTCCTGGATACCAGTGTTGACCAACATTTCGATTTATCATTTCGAGATAGCGCTCAGGTGTATAATTTGGAGGATTGGGATTGCCAATATCATGGTTTTCAGGTCGCAGTTGTGAGTTTGAAGGATCTAAATTTCCGGCATGCTGAAAGTTGAATTTATCATCTTCGTCATCGATGAAAACTATATTGGGTTTGGAGCCGTCCACACCTACAGAACAATAAATAATCATATTATTAGAGAAACGTTGAGGAATGCAGTCTGTAGTCACTCGACCTAATCGAACTCTATCTGTATGTGAGTGTGCACAATGGAACACAATTTCAATCACTGTTCAACCGCACACTTGTTTACCGCAGCTCTGTCCAGTGGTCAGTCGACTCAATGAACAGACGACTATTGATAATATCCGATCATCCAAGTGGAACGGAAGCAATCTGAGACAGTAGGTCATTGGAGTAACCACAATCAACTGCTAATGCTGCAAAACACTTTGTCTCAGTGAACATACGAATTCACAACCACACATTGGATGCTAGTCGCCCCTAACAAGTACCTTCATCTTGTTATCCGACTCTAGAAACGTCAATCACTCGGTCTCACTGGACATGTTCAGATGCTAGGATATACCAAGATATGGATAAATTGAGGCTGACGAGTTCACTGGTCTTGTGCTTACCATCACGATTGTCGGTGAAACACACACACACGTACCTTGATTATATTGAACGGTAGAGTTGAATGGCATTGGTTTGGTCAGTAGTTGTTCGAAGAGGAAGACATTGAGTAGTAGTACGAAGACGAGTCTCATGACAGTTCTGGAAGAAGAAGAGGAAGAAGAAGAAGAAGAAGAAGAAGAAGAGGAATGCAGATTAGTGAGCGACAGTTGTGTGTTGCGTGATTGTCGCGAGCGAACTGGATGCCACGTGTGGAGTGAGATGTTGTGTGTTGTTGTGTTGTGTAGTGGAGTGTGCTGTAGTGTGGTGATGTGCGGAGTAGTGTTGTGTTTTGATATGGATACACTGCGACTCAGTGCAATTCGATGACTTACTTCACTCACCAATCGTTGTTCACTCAACCACTTTAATCAGAATACATGGTGTTTCACAATTATTTATATGGTGAGAGATATTCGTAACATGGATGATTACAGTTGAAAGTCACGTGACACAACCACTGAAACGGATGTTCATGAACACTGAAACAGTCACGTTGCGCACGTGTTCCACTGTGCTCCAGTGACACGCGAATGTGACGATTGGCAGCTGTTCATGCTGAACGTGAGTAGGTTGTGATGAATAAATCCATGTTTCATGCCAATCAACAATGATCACATGTACAATGTGTGGATGGCTTGATTTGGAGTTGGTTATGAGAGATGAGGTTGAACACGTGAAGTGTTCCATACTTGACAATGGACTAGTGAATGTGGTGTTACTGAGTACTTCGGAGTGATGATCTGTTATTCGGGATTGTGTTGCATGTGCGTGTCGAGTACCTCCACTTGTGTCCATCACCGTTTCACAATGTTTCTTGGTTCTTGTTTAGTGAATCGGTATCCAGTACGAATCATATGTTATGTGACCCACAATTCTATTTCAAATTATTCCGGCTGAAGATCAGATCTTGGCATTTCTAGTTGTGATTGTAAGTGTATTCTGCTGTCATTCGATTATCCACCTTTTCATTCACTAATTTTGAAATGATGGTTGCTGAAATGTGCATAATGTCTAGTCTGTCGACCGTCATGAGCACACTTCCCTCATTGGATCACATTTTTGAGAACCGTTTATCATGCGGTAATTAACTGAAATTCAATGCGTGTTTGTTCGAGACGAGACTGTATGTTGTTATACAACTGACAATAAATCTATAACATCATCACATATGTGCTTGACCTCTGTTTTGTAGTGTGTTTATTCGTGTTTGTCTGAATTTTCAACCAATCAATCAAATTGACATCGTGATCTATAACTTCAGTGTAATCCGACACAATGGGAGATGGCAAATAAGTGAAGATGCAACAAAGAAATACAGAGTTGTTCAAGTCACTGAACAAGATCTTAGTTAACTGATCGAATCTCACCATCATCGAAATACTATTCATTAAACAATTATCAGTGTTGGTGCCACATACGATGCATTATGATAGTCTCCCTGTCCTGCGCTTATGATAACTGGAAGCATTCAAATTTATTTTCAACTTAAATTTTCCAAAATAGTTCAATTCACTATAGATGGAAATAGATGGGTAAAAATGAACGCGTTATATATATTATATGCAATATCGTCCACATTGACTGGATGTTTCTCATGCTACTGATTTTCTCGTATTCGTCGTCTTGTCTGATAGCGATTGCACACCTGTTGGTAGATTGCAGAATTGTCAAATTCATGTTTTATGACATCGATGTTAGTGGGATTTCCGATCCGCAAATGCCTCACAGTAGTTTCGACTGCAATAATTTAGGAAGTTAAATGAATGATCAATATTATTTGAACACTTATACATTGGTAATATGAGGCGTCCAATGCATATGCACCACAATGAGTTTGCTCAGAGATAAAAATAATTTTCAATGCACGCAGCAAAATGAAGAGAGAAGACGGACAGAAATTGGTGTACGTGAGTGAAATATTATTGATGATAATAAAATCATCAACAATAATAATAGTATATAGTGACTCACGTGCAATCGAATTTAGTTCAGTCAAGGTCTTTTGTTGACCTATTTAATGTACAAAGTCATCCATGATATAACAACTTGTTGTACTATCACTATTATTATGCTTGTATGAAATACATATGCTTGAACATTGTTTAGCGCCTACGCATGTATTCATTCTGCTAGCTTCATTATTAACTGCTTAGTCTATTCCCTGACTCATCCATTTTCCTATACATATATATGTATATATATGTACATTTGCACCCATTCACTACTACTACTACTACTACTACTACTACTACTACTACTACTACTACTACTACTACTACTACTACTACAACTAATACTACTATTACTACTACTACTACTACTACTACTACTACTACTACTACTACTACCACCACTACTACTACTACTACTACTACTACTACTACTACTACTACTACTACTACTACTACTACTACTACTACTACAGTACTATTGGTACTATTGAAATATTGAACCGTGATGGATCCGCATTTGACTCAGAACAATTCTCATATCTCAGTATCAACGATTTCTCCAAATTCCTCTTCACATCATCACAATTCACATACACCATATCATCTCCAGTTGTACTATTCTACTCATTTGTCTAACCATTAAATATACTTAATCCCACATAAACGATTTTCTATCGTCTTCCATCATCTATGACCTAATCATGCTGAGTATGTTAGGCTTTCAACTGTGTCTTGCCTTAGTTCTGTGTTTGCTGTGATAACGACTCTCTCAACGTCATGTTCATTAGATGACACCTACACGATAGCTTCCCGATTATTTGGACGAATTATTAAGCTCATGTTATACAATGTAAAACTCGGCGTATCTTATATACCTTTACGCTTATATGTATAAGCTTTTCCACATGATACCATATTCATTTTATAGTTTACCAGTATTTTGTATAAGCTCACGGACGATCTTGAAGCCAGATACACAGTAAATGGTAATAGACACATCAGTTTCATTCCAATGATGTATAAGCAGATACCTTCAAACGGTTGTAATTACTCCATTCAGTCTGCTGTTCTTAGCGCAACACAGATATTTCCCACATATCTTTGTTGGAAGTGTGGAGTTATTATGGCAACTATACTACAACCAATTTCGATTAGGGTTAATTTTGCTTGAGCTTTCTATTAACTTGCTTAACTGACCACGTTATTCGAATAGTAACAATTCGCATATTTCTTTGTACCATTATGATCACTACCATATCTGTATAAACGTGTACGTTTCATCACATGACAGACTCCAGCGATAATCCCAATAGCTTGAATATCGCTCGATGATCCATCCTCTTCCTCATGTATGTATATACGCGAATGCTATTATTAGGCTCTGTCTCGCCTTGTTGTGCTCTGATTCGATTTGACTATAAATTTGCCTCTGTATTCGCTCGCGCACACACGTTCGCCTCCCTGCTTCAATTTCGCTCGATGTGCTTATTGCTCTGATATCCATGCTATCCGCTGATAATCTGCAGTTGCCGCTTCTCATTGCCTTATGATTTCGAACATTGTTGGAATGTGTATGATAACGGTTACAAAGGTGATGGATTAACGAGGCAAATCTACCACAGTATGATCACAGATGAACATACCGAATCACAATCAACCGGATATTTTCATTTCTCTGGACTTGGTATTCAGTTACCTTGATAATCAACTCTCAATTACTGATGAAGTTTGAATTGTTCATATTTTCTTCGTGTATTGTACATTGCTGTGATCTTAGTAATCAATCGTTGTCCAGTGGTTTCGTTACATTTCTGCCGAGTACTTGCATTCAAACGACCGGTGTTGGTCTTTTGCACTTACCGGCTCATAGATTGAACAAATGATGTGACTCGTCTCGTCAGTAGTCGACTAAATTATGTTGTAGGACTTTTTTATTTCCGATTTCTTCTACAAAATTTCCTCCACACTATCGCTATATCAATCTGTTCGTGTTCATTGAATGAGGAAATGTTTGTTTATTTTACGTCGTGTAAGCGAAGTGGTTTTGCCTTCGAACATCTGATTTTTGAATTTATTTATCTTGACCTGTGTGATTCGACCGACCATTTTGTTTATTTCACCTTACCCACACTTACAATGTAGAAGTTTCGAAATATTTCATTTCATTTGAATTGCTTAAGATGTTCTTGCTGGTCACATGCACACTGTGATAGTTAAGATCAATACTTAGAAAGAGGAGATATGATTTCAATGTAGGCGAAGTTAAATTACAGCAGAAGTCGACTGGATGTGAAGCTGAAGTGTATCGGGTTCCCGACCAACAACCCACTCGCTAAATCTCGTAAACAACGATTCGCCTATTTACAGTATTTCCATCGTGTGTTGCCTGAAAACTTAACCGTTCGACTATTGTCATATAGAAAGCGGACACATCAATTTATAATATGAGTGAAACTGAATTAGATTAGAAACTACTCGCAACTCACTACACCATGGGTGGTTGCGAAAGTGATCAACAGGTCGGATTAAGATGCCATCGAAACAGCCTAAACTGTAAACGAACATTGTCACGTAAATTCAGTATGTTTTGCTGAATAAGCAGAAAACTGGCTATGTAAAATACGCATACGCATAAACAACTATCTTCACTATTCCAATCCTGATTGGAACCGATTGCAACGAAGTGAAACACGTCTCATGATGACTAACTCTACAAAGTTAACAGAAAATCGTCAAACGCTTTTTACGATCTAGAAGAGAAATGTTCATTCGACTATGATTTGATTTGCTCAGTGATCATAGGGAAGATTAAACTTGCCATCACATGAACAGCGCGTAAGGAAAACCGTCAGTTCGTACCTTTATAGAAACACATCGACATCATCGACATGACGACAAAACCGATCGAATCTAACAAAACGTGCACAATCTCTATCGAAAAAGACTACAAACACGAGGAAGTCAGTAGAATGTGAAACATTCAGTCAATGTGGACGATATCGTGTAGGTGTCATCTAATGAACATGACGTTGAGAGAGTCGTTATCACAGCAAACACAGAACTAAGGCAAGACACAGTTGAAAGCCTAACATACTCAGCATGATTAGGTCATAGATGATGGAAGACGATAGAAAATCGTTTATGTGGGATTAAGTATATTTAATGGTTAGACAAATGAGTAGAATAGTACAACTGGAGATGATATGGTGTATGTGAATTGTGATGATGTGAAGAGGAATTTGGAGAAATCGTTGATACTGAGATATGAGAATTGTTCTGAGTCAAATGCGGATCCATCACGGTTCAATATTTCAATAGTACCAATAGTACTGTCCAATGTCTGGACGACGAACTCCTGGATACCAGTGTTGACCAACATTTCGATTTATCATTTCGAGATAGCGCTCAGGTGTATAATTTGGAGGATTGGGATTGCCAATATCATGGTTTTCAGGTCGCAGTTGTGAGTTTGAAGGATCTAAATTTCCGGCATGCTGAAAGTTGAATTTATCATCTTCGTCATCGATGAAAACTATATTGGGTTTGGAGCCGTCCACACCTACAGAACAATAAATAATCATATTATTAGAGAAACGTTGAGGAATGCAGTCTGTAGTCACTCGACCTAATCGAACTCTATCTGTATGTGAGTGTGCACAATGGAACACAATTTCAATCACTGTTCAACCGCACACTTGTTTACCGCAGCTCTGTCCAGTGGTCAGTCGACTCAATGAACAGACGACTATTGATAATATCCGATCATCCAAGTGGAACGGAAGCAATCTGAGACAGTAGGTCATTGGAGTAACCACAATCAACTGCTAATGCTGCAAAACACTTTGTCTCAGTGAACATACGAATTCACAACCACACATTGGATGCTAGTCGCCCCTAACAAGTACCTTCATCTTGTTATCCGACTCTAGAAACGTCAATCACTCGGTCTCACTGGACATGTTCAGATGCTAGGATATACCAAGATATGGATAAATTGAGGCTGACGAGTTCACTGGTCTTGTGCTTACCATCACGATTGTCGGTGAAACACACACACACGTACCTTGATTATATTGAACGGTAGAGTTGAATGGCATTGGTTTGGTCAGTAGTTGTTCGAAGAGGAAGACATTGAGTAGTAGTACGAAGACGAGTCTCATGACAGTTCTGGAAGAAGAAGAGGAAGAAGAAGAAGAAGAAGAAGAAGAAGAAGAGGAATGCAGATTAGTGAGCGACAGTTGTGTGTTGCGTGATTGTCGCGAGCGAACTGGATGCCACGTGTGGAGTGAGATGTTGTGTGTTGTTGTGTTGTGTAGTGGAGTGTGCTGTAGTGTGGTGATGTGCGGAGTAGTGTTGTGTTTTGATATGGATACACTGCGACTCAGTGCAATTCGATGACTTACTTCACTCACCAATCGTTGTTCACTCAACCACTTTAATCAGAATACATGGTGTTTCACAATTATTTATATGGTGAGAGATATTCGTAACATGGATGATTACAGTTGAAAGTCACGTGACACAATCACTGAAACGGATGTTCATGAACACTGAAACAGTCACGTTGCGCACGTGTTCCACTGTGCTCCAGTGACACGCGAATGTGACGATTGGCAGCTGTTCATGCTGAACGTGAGTAGGTTGTGATGAATAAATCCATGTTTCATGCCAATCAACAATGATCACATGTACAATGTGTGGATGGCTTGATTTGGAGTTGGTTATGAGAGATGAGGTTGAACACGTGAAGTGTTCCATACTTGACAATGGACTAGTGAATGTGGTGTTACTGAGTACTTCGGAGTGATGATCTGTTATTCGGGATTGTGTTGCACGTGCGTGTCGAGTACCTCCACTTCTGTTAATCACAGAATCTCCCACATTACTGCCAGTACATTCTGTAAAATGTTCAAGATTTGAATGACGTGAAGGTGAAAATTTCTATATTATTATTGTTCAGAACTGTCTCGACTTCATGTACAACTCGTTATCAAGTGTTTTATCCACCAATCAAAATACGACTTGTTCAATCTTAGCACTGTGCCAACACCAATTGCGTTCGACCGGTATGAGCAGCCTAGCGTCCCTATTGTTCCTATGTCCGCCTAGTCCGTCCACTTGAATCTAGAACACCAATACCAGTTTCCACTATGCGAATCGAATCATTTATTTCAGACTTACTGGGTTTATATATCAACCAAACAGACCGCAACGCACCACAAAATAGGAAATAACATTTGTGCACAATAAAGCCAAAAAGTGACTGTGAACTTGAGAGGCAGTAGTCACTAAACTGAACATAGCTTAAGAACAGTAAATCGTACAATAATAAATTACAGATCAAAATAAAGCTTATAATGAGAGGAATATAAATATATATAATCTAATTATTGAATAGTTATACCATAAGAATGTATAGATGATAATAGTCAGTTAATATGTCTCAGAAGTTACCCGTGATCTAATCTCCGCTCGGATATAACACCTCTCCCTTTTTTT